GTGGCTTACACTACCAGGCTATCACTTGGAAGAAACAGACACAACAACAAACTAGAACGACTGAGCTACAATAAACCGGTCCATTGGGATCAACTGGTTATAGGATGCACGGTTTGGTATCTCAGCCTCGTCCCGCTACCTCGTAGGATTCCTCGGCCTTATGTTAGTCCGGAGTGTTCGTAGTTCAACCCAACGCCTCAGTACGGATTTAAGAAAATATCCATTTTAGCCGAATCATAGCTCGGTCGGCTTGTCTGGCCCAGCTTAATGGGCCGGGGTAGCCGCGTTGGTTCAGTTCGGCCAGGTTCGTGGTGCTTGGCCCTAGCGAGGCGCAACACCATATCCCACTCTGACGTAGCCTGCCCTGATTCTTCGGTGCAAATCTCCCTCTCAATTGCCACTTAATCCCATCCGAGCTAAGCGTGATTGGGATTACTACCCCGACTGAGCTATCCAATTTGGTCGGTAATTGAGGATTGCGCCAGTAGTCTTGGCATCGATCAATCAGTTGTACTGACAAACCATCTTTTCAACGCCACATGGCCGTCCCTGACTGGTTCCGTGCGTTCTTATAGTTGTCAACATTATTCCAAAGATTCAAAAAGTTACCGCCTATTCGGTTTTCCCCATATATACACACAAGATGCCCAGAAACCCTCGTCGTTGTTCATCTCCCTTATGCAAAATCCCTAAGCTTCAGACCTCCAAGCTTCTGCCGCTACCATCGTCACTGTTGTCATCAATTTTCGAGTCATTTCCAGCTATTTCTGTCCTCACAAAGGCCTTAGTAAGGGTCATGGTCGACTAGGTCCTGACTTGGCATCCATACCCTTAAGTTTTTCTCACTTTCCTTTATATTCTCCATTGATGTTCTTCCTATTCTTAATTCCTGTCTGTTTTGTGACTGTTGAAATATTGCCTATGCCCTTCTTGTGGGATTAATATTTGTGAGCATTAGGCCAAATCGAAGCCCTAAGTAGCAACGGGGCTTCCTTGCCCCTTATTTCCCTTGATTACTGTAGGTGGTTTTGGATTTAGGATGAATACTGAAAACTCTAGGTAGAACCGATCAAAAACCCACTTTTAGATCTAAAAATAGGATTTAGCCCAGCCAGAACTAGTTCGAGGTCCTCCATTGAGGTCCTCCCAGTGGGAAGATCGAACCAAGACAGGAATCGAAATACGGCACCACAACCGGTCAAATGGCCCAGAATCTCAGACCGAGCCAAAAAACTTCCTCACAGGAGCCGTGCAAGTTATGTCATGCTAATACTTGGACTTATTTATTAATAATGTAGAACAAACTAGGACTGACCAGGCCCATTCAGCATAATTGTCAGTGAGGCTCAAAGACCGAGCAAACAATCACCCAATTTTGACTGAGCTATAATAAAAATTCCATAACTAAATAAAATCGGGATAGACGTTGAAGTACCGGTTTACGGTTAATTCACTTGGGGTAATGGCCGAGTTCCATAGAGAATACAATGTTCCAGACGATGTCCACTTAGAGGTGGCCAAGAAAGGAGACACCCCCTGTGGCGAACTGGACAAATGCCCTTTCACGGTGGTATCTATCGTGGAAGGCAGCCTATGCTTCCCAGTCCAACCCTTAGTCTGCGAATTTTTGAGGTAGAATAGGCTGTGCCCGACCCAAGTCTCCCACAACACATACAAAATAATAAACGGTGTGGTCGTGCTGAATAGGATAATCAGTCGGAATCTTGGCCCCATCGAGATATTCTTTCAATACATACTTAGCAAAAATAAATGGGGGTTTTGTTGGTATCTCAAAGTTAGGAAAGGCCGAGCAAACCTTATTGAAGGCATCACGGATAAAGAGACAAACGACGATGATTTCCTGTGGGTGTCTAGTAATTACGAGGACACTAAAGCGCCCATACCGGGCTGGTACATAAGAAAATATGTTAGGAGTGCTGGTGAGCACTTTAGCATGTTTTTAATTCTGTGATTGTTTTTTTTTGCCGATCTAACCCTTGCTTTTTTGTTGCAGACTACTGACTCTTGGCCAACGATTACTCCCGCGCAAACCAAGAGGCCATAAGGATTGCATTGCGGCATCCGGCCGAGGAGAGAGAGCCTAAAAAATTGCTCGTTTACGAACCGAGTTACTGTTACACAGTACCGCGCAGGAGCAGGGTTACCGACTTCCTTCGTGTCCCCTCTCCAGAGCCAGACCCAAACCTTCTGCCAATCAAACTTGTACCATTGACAGAAGAACAAGAAATGGCCAAAATCTGAGCCATAAAGTCTATGATCACGAGGGAGCCAAGTGACTCATAGCCCACTGAAACGACAAGAGGCCAAACATCTTGGACTACCATGCAAAAGGTGTTCGTGCTAGCTTTTGCCAGCGAGGCAGCTGCTGGTCGTTCGAGAAAAAGGCCAAGAAAGGAACAAGCCGAGTAGCGCCTTGTTGACGAAGATTTGGCCGGGCTACCATCGACTGAATTGGAAGAGCAGACTGAACAACCGCTTTTTGGGCGATCTGCCCATTCCACTGCCCTTGCAGTCTGGTCACTCGAGCTAAAATACAAAGGCCGAGCGGTGACAGAGGTGGACTCCGTTTACACGGATAAGGACCATTTGCTCGGCTTTAAGATAACCAAGGATTTGCTGCTCCCTGCGAACATGAAGAAACATCAGAAACTGTCCGAGATGAAAGTCCTACGGTCGGTCGCAAAATCGGTCGTTCTGGTAAGTGATCGAGTTATTGTACTTCCAAGTTATTGATTGGTTTCTTAAACTAACTTCTGCTTTGCTGCAGGACGCGCAAAAAAACTGTTTGGTGCACGAACGCATGATTTATGTGCTGCAGAGTTTGAGAAAGGCTATCGCTGACAACAAATCCAAGACAACTGAGCTGGAGAAGCTGAAGACTGCACACGAGGCAGTGTTAACCGAGCGAGATTTCCTGGATGAGAAGTTGGCGATGGCCAAGGAGGTGAAGGATAAGGCTGTACAGGCCAAAAATGAGAGATATCTGGCCGAGCTACCCAAGCTCCGCGCCATCCACAGGGTCGAGCAAAAAAAAGAAGTGCACGACGCTAAAGTTCGGGGATATGCCGAGGGAGAAAGGGTGTACAGGCGGCAGATGGCGGGCACCAAAGACATATTTTTTTCAGTGCGGCTGGAAAGCGGCTGCGGAAAAACTCGTTCAAGCACCGGAGTCTGAGGTGTTCAATGACCCCCCACTTGCCTTCATTTCCTCCTATATGCAAGCATATGCTGCCACCGTGCAGTAGAAGTTGATAGACGACGCTAAGGAGGCCAGCGCAGTCACTGAGCTAACTTTACAGTGAATTGACAAGACCCCACTGCCAGCTAAATCAGAAGAGGCGGCGCTGAGCAGTAGTGAGTAGGAGCCTTCAACCGTCGAACGAGGAACGGATTCTGGCACTGAAACCGCACAGAATGTGGCAGAAGAGGTGGTGGGTAACCTGGAGGACGCTGTAGATAACGACTAAGGCGTAGCTAGGCTTATGTTTGTCCACTTTTCTTTTTTTTCGAGTAAGGCGTAGCTAGGCTTATGTTTGTCCCCTTCTTTTTTTTTTTTTTTTTTTTTGTATTGATGTAGCCGGCTACGAGCCCCACTTTTGTAATCAGGCTTTATCATGAATGAAAAGTGAACTTTTTCCTCGCTATGTATGCAAATTTTTGTTTGCCCAGTGGTTGTCATTTTCTTTGATTTGTCCGAGATAAAATCTTCGTGGTGCATTCTAAGCCTAATGGTCTTAGTTTAACGAGCAAACTCATCTTGGTTTAAAATATTAGTTGAACACCACACCAACTGTTTGGTAGGCCGAGCAAGGTTAGCTCGGTTTTAATAAGAACTCGGTAAAGGCACCAACATTTTAAGCGGGTGAGCAATGTCAACTCGGTTACAATATAAGTTGGGCGAAATTGATTCTGTTTGTGCGGTCGGTCGAAATCAGCTCGGTGAGTGAGCAAAATTAGCTCTACATTAGCTTGCAAGAAATAGATCGGGTAATCATAAGCAAATTCTGCTCTTCAATTGGCGAGCCAAAATCAGCTCGGTCGATGACGAACAAAATTAGCTCAATTTAATGAGCAAAATTTGCTTTTCATCGGCAACCAAGAAACAACTTGGGTAATTATGAGCAAAATCTGCTCTTCAATCGGCGAGCCAAAATCAACTCGGTCAATGACGAGGAAAATCAGTTTCACAAAGCTGAGCAAAAATTAGCTCGGATAATTGTGAACAAAATTGGCTCCGCTGAAATACAAGTTGGGCAAAACACTAACTGTTGGGCGGTTGAGCAAGTTCGGCTCGGTTTAACAAGCAAATTTAGCCCATAACTGGATAACCGTTCATTCTGCAAAAGTTATCCTGATTTTAAACACTTGCCCCTGGTACTCATAGCAACTTAATGTCTTTGTAACATTTCTGTGTAGAAACGCGAACATAAGAGAAAGAAGTGGTCCTATTGTACTACATGTTACAAATTACACCCAATGCCAAAAGGCCAAGTTACAAGAAGCAAAGGAGTAGAAAAGATTACATTTCAAAAGTAAAATATCTTAAGATTGGCCGCATTCCGTGCTCTGGGAGCTTTGGTTTCTAAGTCTTCCAGGTGGTATGCCCTTTTGCCTACAAGGCCAGTGATCTTGTATGGCCCCTTCCAATTTGCTCGTAATTTTTCTTTGCTAGGGATCATTGCGTTGCCCATTACCTTCCTTAAGACCCAGTCTCCGACCTTGAATAGCCTAGGATGCACGGTCTTGTTGAATTTCTTGTAGAGCTCTTGTTGGTAAGTTGTTATTTGGATTAGAGCCCATTTCCTTCTTTCTTCGGCTAGGTCAAGCTCCAGGGCAATAGCTTCATTGTTCGAGTCTGGTTGGAAACTTTCAGATCGGATGGTTGGCATACCAAACTCCAATGGTACGACTGCCTCCATGCCGTAAGCCTATGCAAATGGAGTTTCCCCGGTTAAGCGCCTTGGTGTAATGCGGTATGCCTAGAGCAAATTGGGAAGTTCCTCAGCCCACTTTCCATTGGCCTTCTCCAATCGCTTTTTCAGACCGTCCAAGATGGTTTTGTTTGAAGCTTCGGCTTGGCCATTGGATTGCGGGTAGGCTGGTGTAGAATTGTAGAAGTCAATCTTTAACTCCTCGCAAAACCCGCGAAAAAGTTTTCCGTCGAATTGAGTGCTATTATCCGAAATGAGAGTTTTTGGGATGCCGAAGTGGGTGATGACATTCGGCCAGACAAATTTTTTAACATCTTTTTCCTTGATAGTGGGCAATGGCTCGGCCTCCACCCACTTGGCGATGTAGTCGGTAGCAGAACTGAAAAATTTGCGGTTGCCTAGAACTGCTGGAAGAGGTCCTACAATGTCTTGCCCCCGAAGAGCAAATGGCCAAGGACTTGTAAGCAGGAGCAACTCTTTGTCTGGTTGGTGAATCTGGTGAGCGAGTTTTTGACATTTTTCGCATTTGCAAACATATTTGTACGCGCCTGCATGTACGGCCACCAATAACCCCTGGGAATTTGCTCGGTAAGCCAAAGATCTATCCCCAATATGGCTTCCGCAGATGCCATCATGAATCTTGAAGACGAAAGCTTCAACCTTGCTGGGGTGGACACACTTCAGGTATGTCCCAGTGAAAGATTTCTTGCATAAGGTGCCAGATGGAGATAGCCAAAACCGCTTTGACCTGGCTCTCATCTTGTTGGGCTCTTTCTTTTCAGTGCGTAGAATTCGATCCTTTAGGAAGGTGATAATAGGATCCATCCAGGATGGTCCCAAGTCGGTGCAGAGTACTTCAAGAACCTCCGGTTGCTTAATGCTCGGACAGGGTAAGAATTCTATCATCAAAGGATTGGGAAAAGTTGTTTGCATAGATGCTAGGCCGGCCAATTCGTCGGCTGCATTATTTTTTTCGCGGTTAATTTGTTCCATTCTTATTGCGGAAAACTTTTTGATGTCTGCACGTTCCAGTACTTGACACTTAGCCATCCTTTCATCCCTGGCCTTATATTCCCTGGAGACCTGATTGACAACCAGCTTGGAGTCGCTGAATACCATAAGTTCTGATGCCTTCATTCTTAAAGCGCTCTTCAATCCGGTAAGGAGGGCTTCATATTCCGCCTCATTGTTGGATGCTTGGAACCCGAGTGTAATCACATGCTTGATAGTCAGCCCATCCGAGGATGTCAACACGACCCCTAGCCCGTTGCCATGTCTATTGGAGGCCCCATCGATGGAGAGTTTCCACATCTCGCCAATGAACAACTTCTAGTAGTCGAAGGGATTTTGAGAGTTCCTTCACTTCAAGGTACTGGTCGGCTCATTTTGGTCTCTTTCTACATCTCCTTCAAGCTTGTATTTTGGTAAATCGGCCGGTTCTTCCATTTCTTGCTTAGCTTTATCTTGCCGTTTTGCTACTTGTTGTCCATCACTTATTTCTACTATCCGAGCCATGGATTGTGCCAGCTCCGTGCTAGCCAAATCAACAGGGTAAAGAGGGTGTGTTCCAGGGACAAATTTTGCCACGAAGTCGGCAAGAGCTTGAGCTTTGATAGTAGCACGCGGCTGGAACTTGATATCGTATTGCCCTAATTCCACGGGCCACTTCTGTCGGTGAAATCTGCCTTTTCAAAGAGTAGCTTGAGTGGAAATTCGATTAGCACGACTATCCTGTGGGCATGAAAATAGTGCGCCAGCATTCTGGAAACCATCATGAGAGCCAGAGGCAGTTTTTCTAGTGGCAGATATCTTGATTCGGCCGCAAGCAGTGTCTTGCTAATGTAGAAGATCGGGAGGTGCTGAATTCCCTCAGCGTGGATGAGGACGGCGCTCACCGCATGCTGAGAAACTGCCACGTAGAGATACAGTTCTTCGCCGGGTTTTGGTGTGACCAAGATTGGGGGCAAGGAAAGGTATACTTTTAGATCCACCAGTGCATGGTCGCACTTGTCATCCCAAAAGAACTTGGCCTTCAAATTTTTGAAGAAGGCCGGCAACGATCTAAAGACCGTAATAAATCGATTCAGCACGACTTTCATTCCGTTGAGATGTTGCACGTCCTTCGTGGAGTTTGGCCGCTCCAGCTCTTGTATTGCCTTGAGCTGGGAAGGGTCGGCCACGATTCCTCGGTTTATGACCAAAAAACCTTGAAATTTCTCGGTTCCAACTCCGAATGCACACTTGGAGGCATTTAAGCGTAGCTTGTGATGTTTGAGTATGGAAAACATTTCTACTAGGTTGGCAAGGTGTTGAGACTTGTCTTTGCTCTTCACCATCATGTCATCGATGTAAGCCTCCATAGTGCGGCAAAGAATAAGAGCGAATATTTTGGTTACCATCCTCTGAAAAGTTGCCCCGACATTTTTGAGACCGAACGGTATGACCTTGTCGCAGTACAAGCCATTTGGAGTGGTGAACGAAGTGATCTCTCGGTCTGGTTTGTACATGGCGATCTGGTGGTAGCCGCGATATGCATCTAGGAAGCTAAACCTTTGATGGCCAGCGGTTATATCCACCAACTGGTCTTTTCTCCGGAGGGAGAAGTTGTCCTTTGGGCTTGCACAGTTGACTATCTTATAATCGACCCACACATGGCATTTATCATCCTTTTTCGACACTACCACTGTGTTAGAGATCCATCTGGGGTACTGCACTTCTTTTATCGCCCCAGCATCCAATATGTTCTTGACCTTCTCTGCCACTATCTCGGCATGGTGTAGGGCCGAGCGCCGCGTTCTCTAGATGATTGGTTGTCCATTTGGAAAGACACTCAACTGGTGGCAAATGAAGTTAGGGTCGACACCAGGCATATCGTAGGGCGTCCACGCAAAGGCCTCAATGTTGGAAACCAAAACGTTGACATAATCGAGCCACTCGGCATTGGAGAAAGATGATCCCAAAAGGAAGAACTTATTTGGATCATTCTCATCAACGCGCACTTCCACCAAATCTTCAGCCGATTTCTCTTCGACTTTTCTTCCCAAGACTTTCTACCCTTCTGGTCCTTCTATCACTTGAACAAAGCCTTTGGCAGCCCGACTGCCATTTACTGCGACAAAGCACTATTTTGCCATTACTTGGTCATCCCAAACCTCTTCTACTTATCTGGCTAGCGCTGGAAAGCGGAAGACTTGGTGATAAGTCGACGCTACTGCCTACATGACATGCAACCTGCCCCTTCCCAGGATTAAGTTATAGGTTGATGGGACCTTAAGCAGCCAAAATTCCACTTGCTTCATGACTGACCCAGCTTTGACCGGCAATATAATCTTTCTGATTGGCCGTTCGGGTTGAGAGTTGAAGCCTACCAAAGGGGACGTTGTTAGAGCCAAGTCTTTGTCCTCCAACTTCATATGTTTGAACGTGTCGTAATACCTGATCTCTACCAGGCCCCCCTGGTCAATTACAATTCTTTTGATATCGATGTCTTTGATGCGAAGGGTTGCCACTAATGTATCATTATGAGGCGTTTGAATTCTCTCCAAGTCCCTGCTTGAAAAAGTTAAGACATGTTTTACCTCGGTCTTTCCTTTCTTCACAGCGGGTTGAACAGAGAGCACTTCCCTCAACTGCTCGGCCTTCTTGATCATCCCCCTCAGCTCGCAAACCTGTGTTGGTTTGATGATGTTGTTAATGACATTGATTACGCCTTGGGGTGCTGCATGCAGTACAACTAGGCCATTTGGGTTGGCCTGTCCTTGTGGAGCGGCCCTCATACCCCTATTTATGTACTGGTCCAGATGCCCAGCCACCACCAGCTCCTCCAAATGTCATTTGAGCAGCACAAAGTCCTCTGTTCGGTGCCTCCTTTCTTCATGGAATGTGCAGCAGTACCTCGAGTTGAAGACCCTCGGTGTGTCTCCCAATTTGGCTTACTAACGCACGTAGGGCTCACCTCGGATCTCATTTAGGATGCGGTAAATTGGAATCTTAAAGACAGTGGTGATGCCAGTGTGTGCTTTCAACTTCCTCTTGGCATCTTCCTCTTCACTACGAAGAGCGTTAGCTCAGTCGTTTTTGCAACTTTTGTTTCTATCTTTGTGGTTTAAACTGCGATGTTGGTCTCAAGCTCGGTCATTAGGGCGGTTGTCCTCCTGTCCCACCGAGTGAACCTTCCTAGCCACTCTTCTGTCCACCGCAACTGGATTTGCCTTCTCGATTGCAGTGGCGGCGGTGGCAGCGGCATCATCTTCTACTCGAATATGTTTGTTGATCTGCTGCATCAAGGACTCGATGGTTGTCGGTTGGTCCACCGTAAGCGAGTCTCACAGCCTATGTCCAACTGGGAGACCTCGCTTATATTGTGTGATCACCAGATTGGTGGGGAAATCAAGGATCGCATTGTAATTTTCCCAATACTTGGCATTGTAAGCCTTCAAAGAACCTCCAGATTCCATCTTGGAGCTAAGGTGGCGGTCAACCTCCTTCGGTGTTCAAGTGTTGGTTTTGCATCTAGTGACAAAGACCTCTGCTAGTTGTTGCCACCCCTTGATGCTCCCCTCCGGGAGTCTTTGGAACCACTTCAGGCCCAGTTCTCCGAAACTTCCTGGAAATATGAGACACATCAAGGTGTCATTGCACCGGTGGCGAGCCACTACTTTCCAGTAATGACTCACGTGCATGTACTGATCCGTTTTGCCGTCATATAGTGTGAACTTAGGTTGGTGGAATCTGGCAAGCAGTGGTATGCTCTTGATTTCTGGGGACAGTGGGGTAGCTGTAAATCTTGCTAGCTCTCTGTCCATCAGTGTTGGGGCCATCATTCTAGGCGCTAGCATTGCCACTTCCTCACTGCAACGGATTTCGGGACTCAGGCTTTGTAACGTCGGCAATCTTTGGGTCTCTCTACGGCGAGCTTACTCCTCCAATACATCCCTCCGTTCCCCCAAATGGGCAGAGTAAGAGTATGTCAATGTCATCGACGGACGTGAGGGACGGTAACTGCTGTCGCGAGTGTGATATCTCTCCATTGGTGGGTCAGAGTCACCAACTCTATAGCTTCTGGTGATAGAGAAAGAGGGCGTCCCATCTTGGCGATGACTGTCAGAGCGACGGGGTGGGGTGCGCTCACTGTGGTTGGACACTCTAGCAACACCCTTCCCCTTGATCTGGCCATTCAGTGTCTCCATTTCAGCCACAATCTTCTGAATGAGGGCGTCCTGGTCTCTGAGTTTGTGCTCTAAGCGCTGAGCATGTGACTCTCCTCGTTCTTAGTGACCCTCTGGACTCTTGAAGTGTTCAGCGCTCCTTGCGCGTTTGTCTGGCGCACTTCCGGAAGAGGTTTCTAGGTTCGCCATATTCGGAATAGTGGGAGGGCCATCTTTACGTCGGAGAGGCTCTGGTGTGATACCGTCGACAATGGACAGCGGTGTTTCGTCGTTGTTAGCCATGGAAACGGTTGAAAAAGCTTGGCCAACAAGGTTTGTCCGTCAAAGAGTTCCTGCAGACGCCGCCAATTGTACGGGGGTGAAATTTTCTCTGTTCTCCGTACTCCTTGAATCCAAGCTTCATGTGACGTTGCCTGACGTGAAAACCAAAAGATGGTGAGCTGCCCAGTGGTGTGCTACCAGATAAACCCTCCGATGATCAAGTCAACACAATGGAATTCCTTTTGATTACTTACCTCTAACGTCTCTCTTCTCTTCTTTTTCTAGGCTGGCCATGCAGCCTCAGAGATTGTGGGCGCACTACCTGTGCTATCCTTCTCTAAGCAGGCAACTATGCTCCCCTCTCTACCTTTCTTACACGTGTAGAGATCAAAACCTCCAAAAGTGTTTGTTGAACTGCCAAATGGTATCGACGCAAACCATGAGTGGATTTTCTCTGCTTTACAATTGGTCCAAGTGGCTTACACTACCAAGGTATCACTTGGAAGAAACATACACCACAACGAACTGGAACGGCTGGGCTACAATAAACCGGTCCGTCGGGATCAACTGGTCGCAGGACGTGTGGTTTGGCATCTCGGCCTTGCCCCGCTACCTCGTAGGACTCATCGGCCTTAGTCAGTCCGGACTATTCATAGTTCGGCCCAACGCATCAGTATGAATTTAAGCAAATATCCATTTTAGCCGAATCATTGCTCGATCGGCTTTCCTGGCCCAACTTAATGGGCCGGGGCAGCTGCGTTGGTTCAGTTCAGCCAAGTTCATGGTCCTTGGCCCTAACGAGGCGCAACGCCATATCCCACGCTGGCGTAGTTCGGCCCATTTGTTCAGCGCAAATCTCCCTCTCAATTGCCCCTTAATCCT